AACTTTCACGTTTCCAAGATCTCTTTGCTGTTGCTCTTCTATACTAGAGTTTCTCCAGGTGTGCCCTTCACCTCACATGCACTATACCACCTTAAAGGAGTGGGCCCCAAAGCCTGCATGGTTAACAGGCTCTCAGAGTCTGAGAATCTGTGTTCAGCTCAACAGGTCTTAAATTCCAAAATGCAAGTTCCCACATTGGAGACTTTTAGAAACTTATAAATTATCTTGTGACTTGGTACTTCAACCTTAAATTAAGGTCAGCTGAAGAGAAACAGGGAGAAGTGGTAGAAGCAAGTCACTTTTTTTGGGGGGGGGGGGTAATACACAACCACTTAGCACTTTACAGAAAGAACTTCTTATTTTCTCAGGACAATATTCCCTAAAATAAGCCGAGCTTCTTACTCTAGGAGTCTTAAAAAATAGGAGTGTAGCAACCAAGTAATAAAAATCATGCTGGATATCAAAAACAGTAAACAGAAATTTTTAAAGGCATCAGACTTAGAATAGGTATGCAAATATAAAACTGCAAAGTTACAAAACAGTACTTGGCAAAGCATGATTTACTTTAACCATGAAAAGAATTCATGCTTGATTTTCTTTTGAAAAGCAAAATGTTTGCCAAGAATCAAGATAGTCTTCAGAAAATAGGACGTTAATGAAGAGAAACTACTGCAGAATAAATAAAGCATATTGGTCACAGTGCTGCTCATACTAAGGAAGCATGTAACAGTGTGTCAGCTTTTGCCATCCAGAGCAAAACATAGTTAACTGTTAACTGAGTCATCACAAGCTGGCCAACATCAGGCAACCCTAAACAAGCAATGCCAGGATTAGCTTGCTTTCGGTTCCTTAAATATGACAATCTTTTCCATGCTTTTTGCCCATGCCACTGTGTTGGTTTAGTTGACACGTTCCCCACAATATTTTTTCATCATTGTGCTATTCAGGCTTCAGGTTTCAGCTTCCTTTACTCCATATCTAAATTAGGTACTTCCTCCTACGTATAATCTCTCTAAACACCTCATAATCACCCTCCATGGTATTTCTAACACACTGTAGTCACATGTATATTGTGTTTGTGTAAGATCTCTTTCTCCAATAAGCTATACATTAAATCATGGCAGAGGCCACATCCATCTCACACAATGTACAGTCAATGTCCATGACACCGGTGCAAAATCAGGCACACTTAGTGGAATACAAGGCATTCAGAGATCCATCTTGGGTTGCCTTCACTTCCTATCTGTACAACTCCAACAAGTCTAGACTCCTTCCCAACTTCTATGTTAGACCATAAAAACCTTAGCATTAAACAATGGAGGTTCTCTATTGACCTGTTAAAACCATAGGAAAATGGAAATATGCTGTAGTGAAGTATTTGGGGCATAAGAGTACAATCTCTCAGTTCCGTCAGGCTGGTAGCGTGCCGTTTTGTTAGAATTCTAGAGATTTGCTTGACAACTTTTCTTCCTAATGACACTCTCATCTTGAATAACTTTTCTTTTCCTTTAGACTTAAGAGTAGAAATGAACACAAATTTACACCTCTGTCTTTTACCTCTATGGTAGGCAGCCTGCATGATCCTTGCCTCCTAGTATTCACAGCTGACCCGTCCCAAATAGAACAGTGCTGCCCTATGTAGCTACCAGGATGCTGTGGAAATGATGGCATGAGAATCCAAGGTTAGGACATAGAACACATTGGGGCATTCACTTTGAGCTTTTATCATTTACCCTGGGGGATACCAGCAACCATGTTGTGAGAAAACTTTTGCAGCCCTGCAGAGAGGTCTATGGGGCAACAAACAGTTCTTCTGCCAACAGCCAGCCATGTGAGTGAGCCATCTTGTAGTCAAGTCTTCAGATGACTGTAGCCTCAGCCAATATCTTGACTACTACTACCTCATGAAAGATCCTCAGTTAGAAATAACCAGTTAAACTGTGCCCAAATTCTAACCCGGAGATAACATAATATGATAAGGGTTTATAATTTTAAACTACTAAATTTTGAGATAATTTGTTATACAGCAACAGATAACTAATACAATCTCTCATCACTCAAGTTCATAGTTTTCTCGAAATTTTCACTATTAAGGAATTAACTTTTAAAACTTACCCTTCAACTGCCTTTTTCACTAGATTCCAAACGGAAGATAAAACAAATGGCTAGTTAAAAATTTTTTTTTTAATATAAATAATATTTATTTTTTAGAGAAAAAAAGTTTTCAATACAAGGGATCCAAAACAAATCGGAATTGACAAAAATTTGTGCATTTATTGTTACACGTTTAAACTTCAGTCACCTACAAAGTACTCTCCGTTTCATGCAACACACCTCTTGAGATACTTTTTCCACTACTCAAAACAGGTTTTGAACTCATCAATTTGGCTATTTTTGGTGCTTCTGCCGTTTTTTGTTTCACCTCTTCCATATCGGCACAATGTTTCCCTTTGAGGACTTTTTTCATCCAGGAAACAAAGTCACTTAGGGTGAAATTGGGTAAAGTGGGAGGGTGAGGCATGGGGGTCATGCCATCTTTTGGTAAAAAAACTGCTGAACATTAATTAAGCACAGTGTGGGCAGGTGTGCTTGTGAATCATGAAACGGACAAATGCATTGAAAGAATCTCCAGAAAACATTTACTGAAGCTGAATGCAGTCTCTCACAACACCGCTAGCTGGTATATGCTACACTGGTTCGGATAGGCTCCTAGAACACTTACCTAGTAGAGGAAGCCTGTACTATAAGGAGCCTGCTCTTTGAAAAATAATTCCAGGTTTTTTTGAGTCCTTCCTCATAAATAGTGGACAAGATATGCTAAAAGGGATGAGTAAATGAAACAGAAAAGATGGGATAGAGGGTGAAGTGCTGTTCTAATGTCAGAAATGAAAAGAAGGCAAAACAAATTTAGCTGCTTAACTCTGCTTGGTTTCCTCCACTTGCCACTGCCTGCTCTAGCAGATTCTACTGAGGTCCAGCCCAAAGAAAAAGTGTAATGATTGGAGTGTGGGGAGGAAGAAAATATACACTATGATATTCTGGAGGTAGTAGTTTGTATTAGTTAGAAAAGAAAGAAAAAAAATGACAGCACTTGAGTACCAAGATAATTTGAAATATGAATATGATGACGATTGGTATCAGTCTTAATTTTTACAATTCTACGTAGAGACGGTCGCTCAAATGTCTTTTTCTTTTCTTTTCTCTCTTTTTGTATTCCCTGCCATGAAACATATGGAACATAAAATATTCCAGAAACAGAGATTTGTCACCATGATTCCCAAAGATGGTGGTGGACACATTTTTCCTCTTTCCACAGCCAAAGATTATGTTTTCTAATAAAATATACTGAATTCACTCTTTTAAGATTTTAAAAAAATTATTAAATTCCTTTTGGCCTTATCCTGTTTCTATTTCCTTTTCAAAGTGCTCTCTCTAGGTTTCCCTTCACTATTACTATAATCAAGGCTAGAAAAAAGAAAAACTAAGATAATAGTGCTGCAATTAATATTTTCTCTACCATCTTCAAAAAGCCTTTGTAAAAAAGACTAGGAAAAGCAACAATGAAAATCTTTCAATTATTCACTGGTAATGGCTAATAATCTTGATTTTATCTTTTATTAAGAGTTTCTAAGAGTTTTCTTTCTCGAAGTCAAGCAGATATACAGAGGAAAGTTCTTAATTATAAACTGCTGGTTTGTAAGCAGTGGATCTAAGACAAACACCACTGAGACTGTCAGCATAACAGTGAAAAAGAACAAGCATCCATATATTAATACTCAAAAAACTAAGCTGAGTTTTGGTTAGCAGTTAAAAAACAAACAAACAAACAAAGTAACAAAACCCAACCAACCAACCACCCAACGAAAAAAACCCTAAAAGTCCAAAGTATAACTTGTTATAGTTCATATGGGGACTTACCATTGGCACACATCATTAACAACCACTAATAACACTTAGCTTAAATTAATTCCTTAAAACGAAGGAATTAGAAAGACAAGAAATTAATTTACAAAATTCATGAACAGAACAAAATGGTTAGCTATTAGGTCAGTACTATCAACTTAGCCCACTACCACCTTTCTTCTAGTCTCAAAGTTCTAGAGTTTTTAGGATAATCTTGTAAGAATTCTTACTTGGCTTCACAGAGATAAAAAAAGGTAGAAAGTTTACAGATAATCCATGGTTTTAATTCAGTGAGAGGTTTGTAGCCACAACCAGTCAAACCTCTCCTCAATTTCTGACTTGCAGAAACTGTGAGGTAATATTTGTATTAAGTTACTAAGTTTAGAGATAATTTGTTATGTAGCAATAGCTAAATATCTCCCATGACTCAAGCTCACAGTATGCTAGGTTTTCACCACTGACATAAATGACAATATTGTATAAAGAAATGTAAAATAATTACGAACACTTTATTTTATACATAGACTATAAGCATGTTAATAAAATTTCAGTACCATAAACTATTTATGAATAATGCTACTGCAATATCAGTGGGCTGATTATTTTTTCTAATTTATCTCAGCATTTAAGAAAATCTGTTCACTTCAGAGAAGCTACTATAAAATATTGGCCCTTTTAAGATCCTATGATATGACAATAGAAGAAAAATGAGATGAAAAGCTAACTTAGGACAATTCTATGTTGGAATCACTGCAAATTGTGAATACGAATATTCTAGAAAACATTTAATATTTCTGTACTTGCAAGAATTCTAGAAAAGTGACTAGTATACACTTTAGATTCATTCTTCATCCCCTGGTAAGCTGTAGCATATCTCTAAATATACATTTTTCTTAAATTATAAATCAACGGAGGCAGTTTCACATTAACAAAGGAAAGAGCATAACACTGTATATAAATAAAGATTCTTATTAATACACGTATAATAGAATTTTATAGCTGATATAGGTGGTACTTAGTGTTCATTTTCATAACAAAAATTAGTAAGAAAAGCAGACAAAATTGGTACATAACATAATTTTTTAAAAGTGACCTACCCTTAAGAGGATCATGCTCTGCTCTCATAATATCAATAAGAGAATTTTCCAAAGAGTGCATATTCAAACTGTCATACATTCTACTTCGATCCTGGAGGAGGAAAAAAAAAAAGACATATAATCTACATAATTTTATTTTCAAAAAGTGATGACAAAAATACTATCTAACTTATCTTACATAAAATAGGATATTTGATTTATATAATATTACTAATCAATTTGTAACTCGAGAAAATTCCAATTACTAAGAATCTCATGAGTTACAGTATTTCTTGTACTGGAGAACATTATTATCAACATTTATCTCCAAAATCTTATATCCAAGTAATCTCACTGGCAGTGTTAATGGAAAACACTAAAATAACTTCTATTGCTATCATTCTCTATAAAGATCCCTAAAAAGTTATCGATACAGAAGGCATTTTTACTTATTTACTTAACTTCTAAACTTTTCTTACGTATCTAGGAAGACAGATATTCACATACTTAGAAGATAAATATTTGGGGGGAATAATTTAATTCCATAATTGCACCATACTTTAAACATCTATCAAATATTTTGTTATTTGACACAGTAGTCTGAATTTTGCATAATGCATAAACATATAGTAAAAAAATCAAAAGCATGACACACTAAATCAGAACAAAGACTAATGCCTAGAATATTTATATTCAAATTTCACTCTCTAAAGTGCTCTTGTTTTTGTCTCTGCATTTCTATACCCTCCCTAGTCACCAATCCCCCCACGAAACAGAAAGGTGAGAGGGAAAGATAAAAGCACACGCATCTCACAAACTCTGCTACTTCACTGAGTCTCAGAAGTCTTTTGTGTTGTCAGAAGTCTAGCTTGCTAACTGGTCGATCCCTCCGCTTACATACTATGAGGGATTTTATTCTTTAACACCCACTAATTTATACTGTATTCTGTTCAACACATACCCAATGTACATGAAAAAAATATATAAAGAAACTACCATAGCAAACTCTGGCCCACGACTTCCAAATAGCCTGGGTGTCTTATCCCAAAATACTCTGATACCCATTTAAATCTCCCACCCGTATAAGAGTGTGCGAGCGCACGCGTGCATGTGTGTGTGTGTGATCACTTACAAATGTGCACATGTATGTATATGTGGAGGAGGCAGGGTATGCTATTTTAAACTTTCAAAAAATTATTACCACAGAAAATGGAAAGGGGAGAATCAGAAAATTAAGTAGGGAAAAAGAAGTCCCACAAAATCAAAATAATGTCCATGAGCTTCAAGAGAGACCCAAAGTCTCTGAGATAACATATAACATACTACACATGGGTGTACAGTAATTCCCCCTTATCCATGGTTTTGCTTTTTGCAGTTTCAGTCATCTGTGGAACAGTTCAATGAGATATTTAGGGAGCGAGTGAGAGACCATATTTACATAACTTTTATTATAGTACATTGTTAGAGCTGTTCTATTTTTATTAGTTATTGCTGTTAATTCCTTACTGTGCCTAATTTGTAAATTAAACTTCATGTCTTGGAATACACCCCCCATGGATAAGGAGGAGCTACTGTCTAGATAATGTTTTTTCTGAAGGAAATGTTCATAGTTTTCAATCGGGGTCAACACTCCAGTGAAAATTCAGAACAAGTTCTTTAGAAGCTGAAGAAAAACATGAGAAGCTTTCCTAAGAATATATTCATTTATTTACTCTACTTTAATGTTTGAATAGAGTTATAACCTTTTTAAAGCTAGGGGGCCAGAATCACCACTGTAGACTGAACAAGTTGCTTTCAAGGAATTTAAAAAGGTGAAAAGTAACAAGGAAAGATGGAAAGAATGCTAGACATAGACAGAGGCTCTTACTCCAGCTTTATCACCAATTAACTTTATCAGTACCCTTTACTGATTTTTACTGAAAGAACCTTGAGGCAAAACACACCCATCAATAACAGCTGTTCACTAGAACAGTGTCCTTGAGTAGTGATAGAGGCGAAAAGAATCAATGAGCTATAATAATGATTCCCGAACTTAAGCATGCTTCAAAAAACATCTGGAAAGCTGATTAAACACAAACTGCTGAACTAATGAACAGAGTTTGATTCAGTAGGTTTGGAGGAGTACCTGGAAATGTGTATTTCTAACAAGTTTCCAGTTGGTTCTAAAGCTGCTGGCCTGGAGACCACATTTTAAGCAGCAGTTCGTTTCTTGACCTTAAGTTACTAAACTTCTTTAGGCTCTAGTTCCAATTCCTAGAAAATAAACACATCAGCCTAGAAGATACCTTAAGTCCCTTTAAAAATAACAGAAAAAAATACTCAAAATACTGTACAATTAATGAAATAAAACAGAAATGGAGAAGAGAATGGCCCTTAAGCAAAAATGACATAAAATTTTAGGAATCTTCAGTGCTTCCACTATACTGTGTCCATAAATAACTGTTGATTTTCCTGTCTCTCTCACTAAACTTCTAAGCTAATTAAGGCTAGGAGCCTTCTAATTTCAGAACACAGCAAGCTCTCAAATGTCTGTTGAATTAATACTACTTTATTTCTACCATAAAAACTGTAAAAATGTGTAAGTTGAGTTCTGTGAGGGCAAAGAATGTACTTTTAAATGGTAATTATAAAGGACTATGAAGCCTTATCACAATCCTCAACAGAATATGTAGTCAAATGCTAACTGACTAAACTGAGATAAGCATAAGATATTAATGTGGCTTGCTCTCAACTCGTATTTCCAACCACCCAATAAGATTAAGTACTATTATATTTAAAGTTCCCAAATGTTTTAGAAACAGAATTATAGCCGGACTCGGTGGCTCAGCCTGTAGTCCCGCGCCTTGGGAGGCTGAGGTGAGTGGACTGCCTGAGCCCGCGGGTTCGAGACCC